GCTTACTAGTAAAAGCCATTTTGGCGCCTACTAGTACTACTAGTAACGTCAAAATGTGTCTACTAGTACTACTAGTGGCCATTTTTGCGCTTACTAGTACTACTAGTAGACTTTTTAGCGCCTACTAGTACTACTAGTAAGGTCAAATGTGTCTACTAGTAGTACTAGTAGACGTTTTGGCTCTTACTAGTACTACTAGTAGACATTTTTGCGCCTACTAGTAGTACTAGTAAGGTCAAAAAACGTCTACTAGTAGTACTAGTAAAGATTTTTACACTATATTTAAAGGCAAAATGAATGAAAATGTGCTTACTAGTAGTACTAGTAGACATTTTAGGTCTTACTAGTACTACTAGTAAGCGCCAAAATGTCTACTAGTACTACTAGTAAGGCAAAAATGTGCTTACTAGTAGTACTAGTGACAATTTTGCGTCTACTAGTAGTACTAGTAGGCATTTTGGTGCTTACTAGTAGTACTAGTAAGGCGAAAAAGTGCTTACTAGTAGTACTAGTGGCCATTTTTGCGCTTACTAGTAGTACTAGTGACCATTTTAGCGCTTACTAGTAGTACTAGTAAGGCAAAATGGCTTACTAGTAAGGCAAAATGGCTTACTAGTAAAGGCCAAAAACCGCGCACTAGTAGGATATCGAATAAATGCTCAAACGGCTTTCCATTACTAGTAGTACTAGTAAGAGCCAAAACGTCTACTAGTACTACTAGTAGACACATTTTGACCTTACTAGTAGTACTAGTAGGCACTAAAAAGTCTACTAGTAGTACTAGTAAGCGCAAAAATGGCCACTAGTAGTACTAGTAGACACATTTTGACGTTACTAGTAGTACTAGTAGGCGCCAAAATGGCTTTTACTAGTAAGCCATTTTGCCTTACTAGTAAGCCAAAATTGCGTACTAGTACTACTAGTAGAGGTGTTTTTGACCATACTAGTACTACTAGTAGGCGCCATAGCGCTTACTAGTAGTACTAGTACGCCATTTTGGCTTACTAGTAAGGCAAAATGGCTTACTAGTAAAGGCCAAAAACCGCGCACTAGTAGGATATCGAATAAATGCTCAAACGGCTTTCCATAGGCTCTTACTAGTAAGCCATTTTGCCTTACTAGTAAGCCAAAATGGCCTACTAGTACTACTAGTAAGCGCTAAAATGGTCACTAGTACTACTAGTAAGCGCAAAAATGGTCACTAGTACTACTAGTAAGCACATTTTTGCCTTACTAGTACTACTAGTAAGCGCCAAAATGTCTACTAGTACTACTAGTAAGCGCAAAAATGGTCACTAGTACTACTAGTAAGCACATTTTTGCCTTACTAGTACTACTAGTAAGCGCCAAAATGTCTACTAGTACTACTAGTAAGCGCTATGGCGCCTACTAGTAGTACTAGTATGGTCAAAAACACCTCTACTAGTAGTACTAGTACGCAATTTTGGCTTACTAGTAAGGCAAAATGGCTTACTAGTAAAAGCCATTTTGGCGCCTACTAGTACTACTAGTAACGTCAAAATGTGTCTACTAGTACTACTAGTGGCCATTTTTGCGCTTACTAGTACTACTAGTAGACTTTTTAGTGCCTACTAGTACTACTAGTAAGGTCAAATGTGTCTACTAGTAGTACTAGTAGACGTTTTGGCTCTTACTAGTACTACTAGTAGACATTTTTGCGCCTACTAGTAGTACTAGTAAGGTCAAAAAACGTCTACTAGTAGTACTAGTAAACATTTTTACACTATATTTAAAGGCAAAATGAATGAAAATGTGCTTACTAGTAGTACTAGTAGACATTTTAGGTCTTACTAGTACTACTAGTAAGCGCAAAAATGTCTACTAGTAGTACTAGTAAGGCGAAAATGTGCTTACTAGTAGTACTAGTGGCCATTTTTGCGCCTACTAGTAGTACTAGTAGGCATTTTGGCGCTTACTAGTAGTACTAGTAAGGCGAAAATGTGCTTACTAGTAGTACTAGTGACCATTTTTGCGCTTACTAGTAATACTAGTAGACGTTTTAGCGCTTACTAGTAGTACTAGTACGCCATTTTGGCTATGGGCGTGTCCGTGGCGTCGATGATTCGCAATGAAACAGGAAGTTGTTGTAACTTCAGTGTACATGCTCACATCTGGACCAAACTGTACATGTAGGATGAGAGTCCCGCCCTGAACACATGTACATGCCGACATTCACCCACAGTCATAGTGCCACCTGCTGGCAACAGAAAGTGACCTTTAACGAAGCAGCCCCCGCCGCACGTTTCACCTACGTGCACGAATTTTCTGTGGTACGTGTATCTTGTCCAGACGCACAAAAAAGCCTCTTGGAGCCATAGCCTAAAATCAACAGGAAGTCGGCCATTTTGAATTTTACGTCAAATTTTGGATGATTTACACACTTCGTACTTTAACGAACTCCTCCTAGGGATTTAGTCCGACCGACCTCAAATTTATGCTGTGCCTTCTAAAGGCATTGAAGATGAAAAGTTGTGCTATTTGCAAGTTTTCGTCAATGGGCGTGTCCGTGGCGTGGCGTCAAAGATCAGCTCTTCGCCATGACACGGAAGTTGTCGTAACTTCAGTGTACATGCTCACATCTGGACCAAACTGTACATGTAGGATGAGAGTCCCGCCCTGAACACATGTACATGCTGACATTCACAGACAGTCATAGCGCCACCTGCTGGCAACAGGAAGTGACTTTTAACGAAGCAGCCCCCGCCGCACGTTTTACCTACGTGCACGAATTTTCTGTGGTACGTGTATCTTGTCCAGACGCACAAAAAAGCCTCTTGGAGCGATGCCCTAAAATCAACAGGAAGTCGGCCATTTTGAATTTTACGTCAAATTTTGGATGATTTACACACTTCGTACTTTAACGAACTCCTCCTAGGGATTTAGTCCGACGACTTCAAATTTGTGCTGTGCCTTCTAAAGACATTGAAGATGAAAAGTTGTGCTATTTGCGAGTTTTCGTCAATGGGTGTGTCCGTGGCGTGGCGTCAGAGATCAAGTCTTCGCCATGACACAGGAAGTTGTTGTAACTTCAGTGTGTATGCTCACATCTGAACCAAACTTTACGTGCTTGATAACTCTCCCACCCCGCTATGGAGGACCGATCCTGACACAGTCAGAAATAAATACAGAAATAAATAAATGCTCAATAAATAAATAAGCATCCAATTAAATACACAAAAATAAAGTAAATAAATAAATGTAGGTAGTAATTAAATTATACAAGGAGACATAAATGTATATATTTTAATTAGTGCCTTTACTTATTCACCTTTGTTATAATTACCTTATTTGTTTATTCAACTTTATTTATTACTAATTTTTTTAATGTATTTATTTATGTGTGTGTTTTAATATTTTTGTCTGTTTTATTCTTCCTTTGTATTTATTTACCTTATTTATTTTCACCCATGGTATTTATTTCTGCCTGTCTTTTTTAAATTTTTGTATGCATTTCTGCCTCATTATGCAAATGAGGAGGGGCTGTGTCTCAAGGGGTCATCTTCTCTGCTATTGGTGGACCAGTCAGACAGGAGAGCTCCTGCTCTACCTGCAGACATCAACGATCTTGCCCCTCACACAGTCAGATGGCTTCCTTCAGTGCGCTGAGGTGTTTAACAACTCTGAAGACAATACTACCAGCAATGTCTTCCTTCTCTTTTCACGTAGAAGCACCGACAGACAGTGCTTTCAGTTTGCTGCATGCATGGACACAGAACTGCGGTATAGGGAGAAGCACACGGTCAGCTGGCTGCAGCTAAATCTGGAGTGCACTCGTATTCAATTCTGTATGGTAAATTCAGTTTTAACGGAGCAGAGCGAGCTGACAGGCAGAGTTAGAGACTTTTTCTGTCCGTTTCTCTCTTTACAAAGACGCATGTTGCAGTCAGAGTCTTCTCTGAGATGCGAGCACGACATACAACACAATTTATCAAATTACACAACGGATATACAGTATGAAAATAAGATTGATTGGATTATACTCACAGGAAGTATAAAACCTCTTACATGGGTCTATTAAAAGTAAAGTAACACAAAAATGTCAGGGAAATTACTTTACTTAGATTTAAGTACTGCAGTTGTACATTAGAAATACCTTCCTACCTTTCTGATAGGAAGCCTTCTTGAGTGGTATAAAACATTTCTTCTTATATTCTGATTTGAGTTGTGGACAACTATGACCACATGAATTAAAAAATATTTCACTGCCCAAGTCAGCTATAACACAAGTCTTGTTCATCAGACTACATGCTGTACAGTATTTGTGGACAGATTTTGTCCCAGGATTTCTTATGCATTTCTTCTTCTTCGTTGCATGATTTAGAATAATAAGGTGAGAAATGGGTCTATTCTGAGTTCATCCTGCACTGCAGCAGCTAATAAAGTCCATTTAATCCCCAAAACGCTTTTCTTTTAGGCAGGCTGGAGCAGAAAACAACTCACCTTTCTCAAGTTGTACAGTAATGTCACATGTGTATGAAGGTGGATCAAACAAGCTAATCTTAAATGTCAAAGTAGAGAGGAGCCTAGTAGGCCTATTTATTTTCATTCATTACACAATATGAATAAGCTATGCAGACAGTTGTAAAGAAAGAACATCTTTTTCTTCTGTTCTCTACTTGTTATAGTTACACAGTATTAGGGTGTGGGCTGTATTAAAGTATCCACTGTTCTCCCATGCTCTAACACACAGTAACGATGAAATGTGTGCTGTTCTCACATTCTTCCTCTGTATGTACACATAAACAACAAGGCAGGGAAATATAAAAGGAATTTATTTATTGTTTGGGTACATTATTGTTCAGTGTACATGTTCACATCTGAAACAAACTTTACGTGCTTGTTAACTCTCCCACCCCGCAGACATCTACACACCAATACCGATTTATATTCATAGCGGCAAGTGCTATGTAGCTCCACATAGGGGACACAGGAAGTGACATATAGCACATTCATGCGGCGTCGGAACCGCGTAGGAAATTCACAGCCGCACCGGCAGAGCTCCAGAATATGCAACTCGGCCGGCTCACGCGCGGACGCGCTACAAGTGCGAGGGCCCGCCCAACGCTGCTTGCAGCTTTAATTTTGTTTCTGGAGTCCATCTTCGGAGGTGAGTGTATTAGAGTGCTACAGAGGATGTAGGGTTGGTGCTATATACTGGCTGTCCACTGATCACTTTGATATAGGCGTTTAAAGGGCTATAAGCTCAGCATTAGTAATCTAATATTGCTCTGGGAGAGCCATCCATTTGTAAACGCTGTTCTTTTGGACTTCTTGTTTCTAAAAGCATCAGTCGTTGTTTATATAACGGCTATAGCTAACTCTGATCTCGCTTTTACGATCGTCGCAGTAAATCTCTGCGTTTTGAGGCAGGAGACATCAGAGGGGAAACCAGAAAATATTATTCTCTGTCAAATATAATCCAGTTTCACCAACATCAGTTAATAAAGATGTGTTTTTGTTGTTGTACATTTATCACTGAGTCATTGCCATCCCCCCCCCCCCGGAAGCACATCTCTCATCATTACGAAAGAGAAAGCTTCCGCAGAGCAGAGTGAGTCATCAAAATGTAAAACTCTAAAAAAGCATCAAGAATATGTACAAAACAATGTTTTTAATCAAGGTTGGGCCAGATCCTGGTGTTCTGTTGACATACACCAAAGCCTTGAACCAACTCGTGCATATGCAATAAAAACAAATAAACATAAGCATTTTAAACACCTTGGTGCAGTTTGTGTTTTAGTTTTACTACAGACTGAACAGGCCTCCTGCAGAAGCTGCCTCAGTAAATCTCTCTTCAACGTTACAGTTTTCTTCAGTAGCTTTGGTACATTGCACAGATCAGTCATGCTGATCGCAAAGTATAGTACTGGTTCTCTTTCTGACCCCCCGAAACATCTAACCAATTGTTCCTTGCATAAGTCACAACATGCAAAATGGCTGGACAGCTGTCATAATCTGTCAAGCAGATTTTCTCTACATGTCTGTTGTGAGGATCTGTGGCAGACAGGAACCTCAGCCTAACAGGTGTTTCCCATGTTTATCCTTCTAACTTTGTCATTTTGTGAAACAGCGTAACTGTGAATCCTGAATACTTTCTACTGGTGAAACTGATGTGTTGTACTGAAATTTGTCATCGAAACCTCAGTTGTGAGAGTGCACGGTTACATTGGCAACATTTTACTGTCTTGGTTGTAAACAACGACATGAGGACTTGTCATTTTGATGCGCTGACGTGTTCATTGACATAAAGATTTACTTCTGAGACTTCAGGATTCTGAGCACGTTACGGGCTTTTGCAGGTCTGTTAATACCACTAATACTAGCCTGTCTACTATGGATCAGACTTGTGATTCTTGGTTTTCTTCCTGTTCAGACCCACAGGAGGTGAAAGTGGCGTCAGGACAGGACGTCACTCTTCGCTGTCAGGCTCCCAGCGGAGCCTGCATCTCACAGTTAGTGTGGAGCAGATCGGACCTGAAGGACGACTACTTCGTCTACTTCCTCAGAGACGGTCTCCACATGAACTACCAGCGTTCCTCTTACGTGGGTCGAGTGGAGCTGAGAGATCCACAGATGAAGGACGGAGACGCTTCTATTGTTCTGAAGAACGTCATCGTCAGCGACTCTGGAACATACGAGTGTCGGGTTGGAGAGAAAAACACACCTGATCTCATCGGCATCATCAGGCTGACGGTTTCAGGCTCAGGTGAGTTGGTGCCTACTACATACTCAGTACTGCATACTGCGTACTACATACTCAGTACTGCATACTGCCTACTACATACTCAGTACTGCATACTGCCTACTACATCCTCAGTACTGCATACTGCGTACTACATACTCAGTACTGCATACTGCCTACTACATCCTCAGTACTGCATACTGCCTACTACATACTTAGTACTGCATACTGCGTACTACATCCTCAGTACTGCATACTGCGTACTACATACTCAGTACTGCATACTGCGTACTACATCCTCAGTACTGCATACTGCGTACTACATACTCAGTACTGCATACTGCGTACTACATACTCAGTACTGCATACTGCCTACTACATACTCAGTACTGCATACTGCGTACTACATACTCAGTACTGCATACTGCCTACTACATACTTAGTACTGCATACTGCGTACTACATCCTCAGTACTGCATACTGCGTACTACATACTCAGTACTGCATACTGCCTACTACATCCTCAGTACTGCATACTGCATACTACATACTCAGTACTGCATACTGCCTACTACATACTCAGTACTGCATACTGCGTACTACATACTCAGTACTGCATACTGCCAACTACATCCTCAGTACTGCATACTGCCTACTACATCCTCAGTACTGCATACTGCCTACTACATACTCAGTACTGCATACTGCATACTACATACTCAGTACTGCATACTGCCTACTACATACTCAGTACTGCATACTGCGTACTACATACTCAGTACTGCATACTGCCTACTACATACTCAGTACTGCATACTGCCTACTACATACTTAGTACTGCATACTGCCTACTACATACTCAGTACTGCATTCTGTCTACTACATACTCAGTACTGCATACTGCCTACTACATACTCAGTACTGCATACTGCCTACTACATACTCAGTACTGCATACTGCGTACTACATACTCAGTACTGCATACTGCCTACTACATACTTAGTACTGCATACTGCGTACTACATCCTCAGTACTGCATACTGCGTACTACATACTCAGTACTGCATACTGCCTACTACATCCTCAGTACTGCATACTGCGTACTACATACTCAGTACTGCATACTGCCTACTACATACTCAGTACTGCATACTGCCAACTACATCCTCAGTACTGCATACTGCCTACTACATACTCAGTACTGCATACTGCCTACTACATACTCAGTACTGCATACTGCATACTACATACTCAGTACTGCATACTGCCTACTACATAATCAGTTAGTACTGCATTCTGTCTACTACATACTCAGTACTGCATACTGCATACTACATACTCAGTTAGTACTGCATTCTTTCTACTACATACTCAGTACTGCATACTGCCTACTACATACTCAGTTAGTACTGCATACTGCGTACTACATACTCAGTACTGCATACTGCCTACTACATCCTCAGTACTGCATACTGCGTACTACATACTCAGTACTGCATACTGCCTACTACATACTCAGTACTGCATACTGCGTACTACATACTCAGTACTGCATACTGCCTACTACATACTCAGTTAGTACTGCATACTGCGTACTACATACTCAGTACTGCATACTGCCTACTACATCCTCAGTACTGCATACTGCCTACTACATACTCAGTACTGCATACTGCCTACTACATCCTCAGTACTGCATACTGCGTACTACATACTCAGTACTGCATACTGCCTACTACATCCTCAGTACTGCATACTGCCTACTACATACTCAGTACTGCATACTGCCTACTACATACTCAGTACTGCATACTGCCTACTACATACTTAGTACTGCATACTGCGTACTACATCCTCAGTACTGCATACTGCGTACTACATACTCAGTACTGCATACTGCCTACTACATCCTCAGTACTGCATACTGCCTACTACATACTCAGTACTGCATACTGCGTACTACATACTCAGTACTGCATACTGCCTACTACATACTCAGTACTGCATACTGCGTACTACATACTCAGTACTGCATACTGCCAACTACATCCTCAGTACTGCATACTGCCTACTACATACTCAGTACTGCATACTGCCTACTACATCCTCAGTACTGCATACTGCCTACTACATACTCAGTACTGCATACTGCCTACTACATACTCAGTACTGCATACTGCATACTACATACTCAGTACTGCATACTGCCTACTACATAATCAGTTAGTACTGCATTCTGTCTACTACATACTCAGTACTGCATACTGCATACTACATACTCAGTTAGTACTGCATTCTTTCTACTACATACTCAGTACTGCATACTGCCTACTACATACTCAGTTAGTACTGCATACTGCGTACTACATACTCAGTACTGCATACTGCCTACTACATCCTCAGTACTGCATACTGCGTACTACATACTCAGTACTGCATACTGCCTACTACATACTCAGTACTGCATACTGCGTACTACATACTCAGTACTGCATACTGCCTACTACATACTCAGTTAGTACTGCATACTGCGTACTACATACTCAGTACTGCATACTGCCTACTACATCCTCAGTACTGCATACTGCCTACTACATACTCAGTACTGCATACTGCCTACTACATCCTCAGTACTGCATACTGCGTACTACATACTCAGTACTGCATACTGCCTACTACATACTCAGTACTGCATACTGCGTACTACATACTCAGTACTGCATACTGCCTACTACATACTCAGTTAGTACTGCATACTGCGTACTACATACTCAGTACTGCATACTGCCTACTACATCCTCAGTACTGCATACTGCGTACTACATACTCAGTACTGCATACTGCGTACTACATCCTCAGTACTGCATACTGCCTACTACATACTCAGTACTGCATACTGCCTACTACATACTCAGTACTGCATATTGCGTACTACATACTCAGTACTGCATACTGCCTACTACATACTCAGTACTGCATACTGCCTACTACATCCTCAGTACTGCATACTGCGTACTACATACTCAGTACTGCATACTGCCTACTACATACTCAGTACTGCATACTGCGTACTACATACTCAGTACTGCATACTGCCTACTACATACTCAGTTAGTACTGCATACTGCGTACTACATACTCAGTACTGCATACTGCCTACTACATACTCAGCACTGCATACTGCGTACTACATACTCAGTACTGCATACTGCCTACTACATACTCAGCACTGCATACTGCGTACTACATACTCAGTATTGCATACTGCCTACTACATACTCAGTACTGCATACTGCCTACTACATACTCAGTTAGTACTGCATACTGCCTACTACATACTCAGTACTGCATACTGCCTACTACATAATCAGTTAGTACTGCATTCTGTCTACTACATACTCAGTACTGCATACTGCCTACTACATCCTCAGTACTGCATACTGCCTACTACATACTCAGTACTGCATACTGCCTACTACATACTCAGCACTGCATACTGCGTACTACATACTCAGTACTGCATACTGCCTACTACATACTCAGTACTGCATTCTGTCTACTACATACTCAGTACTGCATTCTGTCTACTACATACTCAGTACTGCATACTGCCTACTACATACTCAGTACTGCATACTGCCTACTACATACTCAGTTAGTACTGCATTCTGTCTACTACATACTCAGTACTGCATACTGCCTACTACATACTCAGTTAGTACTGCATACTGCCTACTACATACTCAGTACTGCATACTACGTACTACATACTCAGTACTCCATACTGCATACTACATACTCAGTACTGCATACTGCCTACTACATCCTCAGTACTGCATACTGCCTACTACATACTCAGTACTGCATTCTGTCTACTACATACTCAGTACTGCATTCTGTCTACTACATACTCAGTACTGCATACTGCCTACTACATACTCAGTACTGCATACTGCCTACTACATACTCAGTTAGTACTGCATTCTTTCTACTACATACTCAGTACTGCATACTGCCTACTACATACTCAGTTAGTACTGCATACTGCGTACTACATACTCAGTACTGCATACTGCCTACTACATCCTCAGTACTGCATACTGCATACTACATACTCAGTACTGCATACTGCCTACTACATACTCAGTTAGTACTGCATACTGCGTACTACATACTCAGTACTGCATACTGCCTACTACATCCTCAGTACTGCATACTGCGTACTACATACTCAGTACTGCATACTGCCTACTACATACTCAGTACTGCATACTGCGTACTACATACTCAGTACTGCATACTGCCTACTACATACTCAGTTAGTACTGCATACTGCGTACTACATACTCAGTACTGCATACTGCCTACTACATCCTCAGTACTGCATACTGCCTACTACATACTCAGTACTGCATACTGCCTACTACATCCTCAGTACTGCATACTGCGTACTACATACTCAGTACTGCATACTGCCTACTACATCCTCAGTACTGCATACTGCCTACTACATACTCAGTACTGCATACTGCCTACTACATACTCAGTACTGCATACTGCCTACTACATACTTAGTACTGCATACTGCGTACTACATCCTCAGTACTGCATACTGCGTACTACATACTCAGTACTGCATACTGCCTACTACATCCTCAGTACTGCATACTGCCTACTACATACTCAGTACTGCATACTGCGTACTACATACTCAGTACTGCATACTGCCTACTACATACTCAGTACTGCATACTGCGTACTACATACTCAGTACTGCATACTGCCAACTACATCCTCAGTACTGCATACTGCCTACTACATACTCAGTACTGCATACTGCCTACTACATCCTCAGTACTGCATACTGCCTACTACATACTCAGTACTGCATACTGCCTACTACATACTCAGTACTGCATACTGCATACTACATACTCAGTACTGCATACTGCCTACTACATAATCAGTTAGTACTGCATTCTGTCTACTACATACTCAGTACTGCATACTGCATACTACATACT